GTTGTGGTGGTGGTGGTGGTTTTCTGTTGTTGTTATTGTTTGCTTTTGTAGAGTAAACAGAATAGCATGCTCCCTGAACTCTTATTCTAACATAAGTGAGTTGTTTTAGCTAAGGCTTTCTAGTAAGAAAAAAATAAAATAAAAAAATCAGTGAGATGAATAGCCATCATGAGAAGATTTAGACCAAGTGCCTGTGATGAGCTCTAAACTATTTAGATCAGGATCTTTTAGTGGTATGTTTTGAATAAAGTGAACAGCACATCTCAACACCTGCTTTGCTTGCAACACAAAGCAAGAGCAATGAAAAGCAGCAGGAGAGAAGCTAAATCACTATTTGCAAATAATAAGGCTCATTAGCCAGTTAATTCAATAAGGATAGTTCTGTAATTTTAATCTTAAATGTAGGCATCTTGGCCAGATAGGAAAGTGCTACAGGTGTTTGTGCATTTGGAGAAAACTACGGGAAGTTTGAGGAGACTGTAATGTACTTTCCATAATTAATACACATTTTACAAGCATATGCACAGCCTTTCACAAGTCCTTTAAGCACTGTGGTTTTTATCTGGCACTGTTCAGAGAATGGCAGGAAGCTGATAAAATGCTCAGTGGAATTTGCCATTCATTTCTGTGTCCTTCTGTGGCCTTCAGAATATACAATTTTTATTTTGGGGGTGCTTTCAACAGTATAATTATATATGAAAAGACTTCCCATACCACACAAGCTTGCATTATGGCATATTAGAATTAAATGAGAAGAGAAAACTTTTCATTATGTGTTTCTCATTGTTATTCATTCATGCATTCATCTAACAATACTGACTCAGACTTCTGTGTGTGTACTCTTAAGCTTCTACAAACAGTTTATCTCATAGTGCTTCACCCACCATCCAATGTTAATTAAAAGGAAAGAATAGTCCTTATTCCTGTAATTCTAAACAGCAATTGATAAACTTCAGAGGTTCTGATTTTTATCAGAGCCCTCGCCAAACTTTCAAATGTGCCATTAAAAGCCTGTGCAAGCCTGGAAAAGCAGCTTAGTCTTAATATGTGGCCTGTTATATTCAAAAAAAAAGAATTATCCCAGTTTGTCATGTAAAATCATACATATTCTGAAAGTGGACTACAGGGCAGTCAATTCTGTGCAAGTGTTAATAACTGAAAATTATGCCTTATTATGTCAAAGTAAAACCCAGTATAAGCACACATGATATAGTGTCAGGTGATAATATCTAGGAAGCATGCTGAATCAATATTTTAGGAGTTTATTCATACAGCCTGAACCAAAACAGAAAAGTGTAGGAACTAGGTCTTCAAATTAATGAACACTGCAGCTGTTTAAAATGGTGATAAAATCTTGGTTGGCTATCTTTAGCATAACCATACCTACACACATTTACACACATGCTGCTAATTAGGCCTGCAACCTGTTTAATTCATCTGAAAGCTATGGCTTTGAGAAAGCTAGAGTTCTCATCTCAGTTCCTGTAACACAAATATGGATACAGATTTCTCAGTTAATGTCTGCCTAACAAAAATCATATACAGAAAGAAAAATCACACCAAAAAAAATAAAAAATCCCCCAAAATAATATGGAAGAGGTTGGAATAGAGGTCCAGAGTACTGGACATTTTTCAGCAAAGCAATCCAGTCTCCAACAGTAGCCTTGTGTTGTAAAGATTTGTGACTGTCCTTGTAACAAGTTTCATTGGTCATTTTATCTTATGATAAGAACTACTCTTACCTTTCTAATTTCTAATCCTTTCTAATCCTGTTTCTTTTATAAATACTTCTGTTCACAGCACATTGTTGCAAAAAGCATAGTGAAGAATGACTCTGTGTCAAAAATACTACTTACCAGAGTTTGGAGAAGCTCAGTCAAACTCCGATAGGTGTGAAAGAGACCTTTGTCAGCATCATTGTCCAATAGCTTAGCCAAGGTATAAACAGTAGGAGGAGTCAGGATAGAAAACTAATTTGTCAGTAAACAAATAAATTGGTAAAAATGTTGGGAAAAAATCATCTGTGGTCCAAAGCACCAGACACTGACGTCACTACCTGAGCTATATCTGCTGAACTCATGGAATGTAGAGAAAACAGAAAGAGTTGAAGTTCTTACCAGTTTGCACATAATCGAGTGGACTGTCATCCAGGTTACGCTCCTATAGTGTGGTGTTTTTGTGTTTTTTTTTTTCTTAAATCTTACTAACATTGTTAGCAAGGACTTGATCTTATATGTCTTTGTTTTGGATTATGCCAAGGTCCCTTCTTACAGAAGACAAGGTTGATGCTTCTTATGACATTTTACTCTTTCAGATTTATCTACTGACCTTACATTATCTGAAAGGACAGCCTGAAATGCCCTAGAAATTATAGATATAACTTGATTATGCTATGAGTTATTTCCTTTCTCTAAGGTATAATTTACCCAGAGAAACCAGAGGCCAGCACAGGTCTTCACTTACTGCAGTTTCTGCCTGTCTCTTTATGAAGGGGTCATTTGAACAGTATGCTGTGTTGGAATCCAATTTAAGGGCAAGATTGTAGATCAGATATGTTGATGAGATTTTGTCAGATTTTCTTTGCTTTCTCCTATTCTTCCAATATGTCAGTATTAGATGTTGGACATCAAATTTATTGACATGAACAGGAACTGAAGAAAGGAGAGCAGTTCTGGTTATTCTTACTGCTGCTCCAAGTTTCCATTTCTTATTACTTTTCAGTAGCTTGGCTGTGATCCTATAGATTTTTCTTGGCACTTCCCATCAGAATTGTAAGCAAAGCTTTATCTTGGCCATTTGCAATGACACTGTTCATCACTGAGTCCACTGTACAAGAACAAGTCCATGACTCCCCTCTCCCTCCTAGTGTCCCTCTTTTTTTGCCACCGCAAACCATCATAAAACTATAGTTCACAGTTGTAACAGAGCAGCTACTCATGCAGATCTTTTATAAGCAGTATCATTTCCTGAGACTTTAAAGATTGCCATAAAAAGAGTGTGGGAAGACTTTTTAGTTTTGTATCTACTTTGACAGTGAACCAATTTGGAAATGATTGTATTATCAAAACTGAAGAGGACTCATCTGTAGGTTGAAGGCAAGAGCACAAAGCAGCAGCTGAAAAACTTAAATCAGCTTCACAACTGAAAATATGGAAGATAACTTCAGAATCAGAAATCACTTCTTGCACTGTTCTTAGAGAATCACCTACAATAAGACTTTGTTTTCTTGTAGGAGTAGAAGTATTGTTTTGAGGGGAAAAAAAAAAAAGGTTGGTGGAAGAAAATGAGAGATGCAGTGATCCATCCACATGTTCATATTACTCATGTAAAATACTTCAAAGTCCAATACTTGCTTTCATATGTTCTAACAAGTAATTTTATTCAAAATGTTAGTCCCTCAAAATTTCTTTCCTTAAATGTTTTTTATCCTCATAAGTTGATAAAAGTCCTATGTGAAGTAGCTTATTTCAGATCAAACAGACCTCATTCAAATGATAATTATTTTTTTTAGCTTTTGAAATAACCTTATTTCGGTTTTGTTTATTTTTATTTTCTCAAAATCAGATTCCTCTATTCTGAGAATTCTACACAAACTAAAATATATATACGGAGAGATAGATCAGTCTCTGCTTAGGCTCTCTGGATGTTAGTCTAATATAAAAAAATAAATAAAAATAAAAAGCATCACCTAGAATATTATGAACTTTTTCTACAGGCACACTTCTTCTGCTACCAAAAATGTGAATAGCAATGTGATATGGAGACATTAAAAGTGAATTGTAGGGGAAGTAATAACAAAGAAAGGGCGTAGATGTTTTACAATAAATAAATAAATAATTTTAAAGAAACTGGTATTATATATAGAGAGAGAGAATTTAGAGGAATTAGACAAATTTTCATATAATTTCTTTCAGAGTTCTATAATTTCAGGTATCATCCATCTTTAAAAAAAAAAAAAAAAAAAAAAAAAACTAACAACTTGATGGAGTATGAAAACACAAAATGGAGATTGTATTACAAATGTACCACTTAGTTATCACAAGGCAATCATGTCTTTCAATGCTGAAGTGATTTTTTCAGTGTATATGGGCTTGGTACAAAGTCACTTGCTAATGATATGCTTGTTAGAAAAAAACATATATTTTTTTAAAAAAAGCTATGTCTTTGCATCTTACAAAAAGCACGCCTGCTTCTGCTCAGTGGTTGAAAAGGTATTTCCAGCCTTAGCAACATTGCTCCTTTGTTCGCAAGACTGAAGATTTCTTTTCACATTTATACAATTTTTCACTCCATCACCTTAGCAGTCTTTACTGTGTCAAGAGTTGCAAAGAGGTGAAATATCCACTTGCTCTAGAGAACAACGGGTGAAAATCAAAACAAACCCCAGAAAATGATAAAGAGGAACATCAATAAACAGCACTATGAATGCAATTTTCTTAAGTAAGTGGGTAAACAAGCTCAGGGAATTAGCAAGCTTGGCAACAGTGTTTGTTGTGCTGCTAGAACTGTCCTGTAATGAATTACAATGATTAGTACTACCTAAGTGGTTCAGTTTCACAGAAAATTTTCCCAACCTTCTGTCATTAATCTTACCTGGCTTTATTACTAGCACTGTCACTGACAGCTTGGGTAGCTAAACTCCTTAACATGCAGTCTGAACCAGGATGCTCAGGGTTCGCTTCCTACAGCAGAACTCATGGACTGAGGATGCCAGCCATGCCCTGACAGGGGTTTCTTTGGAGAGAAAGGAGGAGAGATTGTGAGCTGTGAGGTTACTAGAATGTACCTTTAGGTTTAAGATTCCCTGAGGAAAGTGTTTTCTACCCACCTCACATAACAGGGCTGCTTGGTCAAATACTTGGGTATTGAAAGTACATATTTTCAGTATGAACAATTGTTTCTAAGCATTATATTATTATAATAACTGTTTACTCTTCTTATTTTTATGTACCAGAATAATTCTATAAAGCACTTCATACATTACTGTCAAATGATTTCCATCCTCTCTTTCACAAACTTTATAACCACTTAATATTCAATAACACAAAGCAAACAAGGTTTTGTGTCTCTAAGGCAAAAGCATGTTTTTCTTTTCACTTTCACAGACAGTACTCACTAGCTCCAAGGGAAGAGGGCATTTCTTTTCCATCTGCAGCCTCTAGGGATTAGAGTAACATGCCTGATTAGCAGTGATAACTCATGAAATGAATTACCTGTTTCATACTATTAAGCCTTAGAAAGGAAAAAAAAAAAAAAATGAGCACTTAGAAAGAAAAAAAAAAGATGAGCACTAGGAGTGGATCCAGTGTCCTGTAGTTCCACAGGAACTTTTTTTCCTTTTTAAAAATGGGGGTTCTGTTTCCCCTCTTCTAGTCAGTGGGAACTTCACCAGACTGCCACAACGTCTCAAATATGATGAACATTGTCTTAGCAACTACATTCACCAGTTCCTCAGGATCCGCAGATGCATCTCATCAGGTCCGTTGGACTTGTGCACCTTCAGGTTCCTCAGATGGTCTCAAACCTGTTCTTCTGCAGTGGGCGGTTCACCATTCTCCCAGTCTTTGTCTTGCTTTCTGGGGCCTGGGCCATGTGTGAGCTCTACCTCGTGAAGACCAAGGCAAAAAAATGTCATTGAATACTTCAGAATTCTCCATATCCTGGGTGATCAGGTTTCCAATTTCTTTCCAGAGAAGGTCCACAGTTTCTTTATTCTTCCTTTTATCCCTGATGTACCTATAGAAGCCTTTATTGTTGCCCTTGATGTCCCTGGCCAAATTTGATTCTAATAGGGCTTCAGTTTACCTAACATGATCCCTGGCTGCCCAGACTATTTCTCTGTATTCTTCCCAGGCTATTTATCCTTCCTCCCACCCTTTGCAGGCCTCCTTTTTCTATCTGAGTTTGCCAGAAGCTCCTTGTTCATCATTGCAGGCCTCCTGGCATTTTTGCCTGATGTCCTCTTTGTTGGGATGCATCACTCCTGAGCCTGGAGAAAGAGAGCCATGAATATTAACCAGCTTCCTTGGGCTCCTCTTCCCTCTAGAGTTTTGTCCCATGGTACTATACTAAGTAGATCCCTAAAGAGGCCAAAGTCTGCTCTTCCGAAGTCCAGGGTAGTGAGCTTGCTGTGCTCCTTCCTTGCTGCCCTCAGGATCCTAAACTGCACCATTTCATGGTCACTGCAGCCACTGCATTCAATTCAAGCCCTTGAATTTCACATTCCCCACTAGCCCCTCCTTGTTGGTGAGAACAATGTCCAGCACAGAACCTATCCTTTTTGGCTCCTCTACCACTTGAAGAAGGAATTTGTCATCGATGTATTCCAGGAATCTCCTGGATTGCCTACGCCTTGCTATGCTGTCCTTCCAACAGATATTGGAGTGGTTGAAGTCCCCTGTGGGGACCAGGACTTGTGAACGTGAGGCTTTTATCTGTCTATAGAGGGCCTTGTCTGCTTGGTCTTCTTGATCAGGTGGCCTGTAACAGACCCCCAGTCTAATGTCCCTTGCTCCTACCCTCCCTTTAATTCTGACACATAAACTCTCTGTCAGCTCCTCACCCATCCACAGGCAGAGCTCCGTACACTCCCTTTCTGCTCATTGACATAAAGGGTGATGCCCCTTCCTCATCTCCCCTGCCTGTCCTTCCTAAAGAGCCAGTATCCTTCCATTCCAATCTCCAGTCATGGGAGCCATCCCACCACAGATCTGTAATGCCAAAACATTTATGCTTTATATGACAAAACATAAATTATTCAAATTCAGGCTTTCTTTCAAAGCAGGCAGAATCTGAATTTGAAAGCATTCTGGATTATTTCAATTAATTCATGTTTCATTATATTTTTCTTTTTTTTTTCAATTTAGGCAGTCATTCATTTTACTAAATTACAAGTTGATCTTTCAAATTCAGTGAGATGCATATGTTTTATTGTGCACTGAATTCAGGGAAACAACTCTATGGTGAAATATTTAATCAATGATTAAATGCTTTTTACACCTCCCACCCACTTGAGACTTACATATGTAAACTGCAACTTACATCCCCGGGTACTTCTGTAGCACTGGAAATCAGATATTTCTCAGGAGACGTAATGGAAACAGTTTCTCTCTCATTGTGCAGTAACCCAGACAGGTGCTAATCATTTCATGGGGTGTGACTACCCAGCAAAGTCCCTCTCTCCTCCTTCCCCTTTGTGTTTCAGCCTTACATTACCCTTCTCCTCCCATCACATTTGTTCCAGCAATAATAATTAACCCCAACTGTAGGATTAAGTCCTGTCTCTCAAACCATGACACCAAAGCAGGACCTATTTGGAAAGTTCATTCCACTTCCTAGCTCTAAAATGCTGATAAGTCATTGTCCACTCACAAAATGTTATGTGGAAAACCTTGCCTAAAGTATACCATGTTAAATTAAAATTTGATGTTCATCTTTCCTGAAAATACAACATTACTGAAATAATATTCAGCTTGATTCTCCTTGGAGATGGAAAGAGGTACAAGTACCAAAGGAAAGATTCATTCTTCAGCCTAAAAGCTTTTCAATATGTCGTATTATTTCTACAATAATAGCTTTTCATCATACAACTGCCAAACTTCTTCCTTCCACCATAACCGAATCCAAACATCTTACTCACCTTAAGTGAAGTTAGCAAGCTTTCTAGTTTGGACTGCCCTGACCCTATAGGCAGCAGAAAAGCTAATTTCTTCTTATTCCTATCCTTCAGCTTCTTATTTTCTTCACTCCTATTCAAAAAGCAAACTTAATTTGTTTGAATTTCAATGGCAAAGAAGACAAAAATCATGAAGAAGCTAAGCTGGTTTTGCTTCTCCAGACCCTGCTTTCTTATCCAGAGGCAACTGTATTGTGATCATTGCCCTGGGGAGGCTGTTCCAGTATCTGACCACCCCCTTGGTGAAAAACCTTTTCCTGATTCTCTGATCAGCTGCTCATTGTCTCTCCTCATACAAGAACCAGGGCCCATCTCAGAAGAAGCAAGCAGGAGCCAGGGTCAACCCAAACAAAAGGAAAGGGTTCCTCCTGCAATGGACAGAAATACTTCCCAAAGGATAATAGGGATATGAGAAGGTGTTCTACCAAACTGGCAAAAAAACAGCAGAATCAAAATACTTCCTAAATTGAAAATAGTTGGAACACCAAAGAATACTAAGGGGAGGTATCATATTCACATATATCCCTGTTCTTCCTTGTCCAAAGGGCACTCCTGGAGACTGGATTCTGGGGTAGATGGACCTTTGGTCTGAACCGGTACAATTTTTATATTCTGCATGTGTCCTTATTCACTTAGTAAACTGAGTGTTACACAGGTATACTGCTAGCCCACTGGACGACACTGCTCAGCATTGGACTCACCAAGTCCACCAGACCCAAAATGCTGTCTCCAACCTGCATTGGCCAACAGTGACTGTTATGACTGCTTCCCTCCAAAGGAATGCATGAGCATAATAACAGGGAGAGCCCAACATCATTCCTCCCTAAAATACCCTCCAGAAATTTGTAATTCACTGTCTTCCCATTCCCTGTTAGTATTTAACCATATTAAGTAGTAGTAGTAGTAATAATGACAATTAATAATAATAATAATAATAATAATAATAATAATTTAATAATAAATTAATAATAATAAATTAATAATAATAAATTAATAATAATAAATTAATAATAATAATAAACCATACTTATGAGCTATTATTTCATTCTATTTAAAATATTTAATTCTTCTCAGGAAGTAATGCACTCATCACTCAGTCAATTCAATACTAGTGCCTGTATGACTAGGCTGTCTTTTAAAATAATACTCTTTCATAAAATGGCTGTCTTCTATTCTTATGACCTTGTAGCAACTATAAGAATTCTAATACCTACAGTAACTGTTTAGAAAAATATTGATTTGCATGTGATATTAAATGCCAAGCACTCTTTAAAGTGAAAGCCACAGTAAAAGTGATAAGCTTACTTAATGTCATCCAGTATTTAAAAAAAATTAAAGCTGCTTAAAATCAAATTAATTTTATAAAAAGTTAGATTATCTAACCAGAAGGAAGGAAGGAAGGAAGGAAGGAAGGAAGGAAGGAAGGAAGGAAGGAAGGAAGGAAGGAAGGAAGGAAGGAAGGAAGGAAGGAAGGATTGTCCAAATTATTACGCTTAATGATTAGGCACAGAAAAAATGATCAACTTCTCTAATTTAAAATATTAGAAAGTGGCTGCTTTATTAGTTGGATGCTTCATATGGTAGAGGAATACCATGTGAAGCTGACAAAGCATGTATGTTGAAGTTATCAATGGTCACACCAACAGAGATAACATACAAATCAGTAAGAACATTTTATTTCACATGGGGAAAAAAAAATAAAAAGGAAATTCTATGTTCCCGTGACATTTGCTTTAACTAAATACTGGAACAATCACATTTTATTTGCACTAGTTTGGGCAGAAAGCACATTTTACACTTGTTTTTGCAAGACTTCACAGTGGCATATCACAGGCTTCACAGTTCTTGCTCTGTCAGGTGATTCTCTGTGCCTGGCTAAGCAGGAAACAGAAATATTTCCTCTCAACTTGTGACCAGCCACAAACACACCGGACTATTTAGGGGACTCAGTTTTGAATGGTCACTGCAAGATGTTTTCCACGCTAACGTAACAGAAACTAATGCTCACAGAGGCACATGCAGTGGCTATGCCTGGCAGAAGCCTGACATCCCGTGCTCAGTGGTGGCGGCTGACTTTGTCACACGCATTACTCACTGTGAGCTACTACCAGCTTATTTGGTTATGTCTTCAGGGATTAGGTTCTGCCACCAGACACACTTTAAACAAGGTTTTCTTTGAAAGAGTTCCCCTTGCAATTGGATTGGGAAGAACACCTGACAGATAGGAGTAGAGCAGCTGCCACAAGCAGTTAAGGCAGCAGCCCGCCTGGGTCAGCGTCCTGACAGCAGCCGTTCCCCAGGGCAGAGATGTCTCTCCATCATCATGAATTACTTTGGTTTCAGTTACAGAGTTTACATGTCTGAGGCAGTGAGACTTCTGGTCGCCCTAGGAGCGTGAATCAACTCTGTGCAGAGGTAAGCTGGTGAGGCTGCATACCTGGCATCTCTAACATGATATCCCCAAGGGCTGTGAGCTGTGACAGTGCTTTTTTGTAGCATTATTATTAGTAATGCAGTAACTCCAGCAGACCTCAAGTAGGACAGGAATCTTATTGTCCTAACAGTGTTTAACGTTTTTTGAAAGGTACTGTACACCCAGAAGCACTTACGCCATAAATTGGGTAGAAAGGCAAGAGAGGAAGGTGGCAGAAGTCCAGCTCCTTGTCTGGAAGCACTTAAGATTTCACTAAAAATAATCACAGTAAAATAAAATTCATAACCCCTGCTGCTCAGCACAGTGCCTGAGAATGACTCTTCCCAAAAATGTTTTTCTGTACTCCAGCATACACACTAATATTTTACACTACCTATGATTTATTTTCTTAGGTAATTTGTTCCTTAAGATTCTATCATTGAAATAAAAAAATTCCCCCTGTATTTTTAATATGCTTAGACCAGGTACCTTCTAAAAATATCACTGTTTTAACAGGATGAACTAGATTAGTAAAGACAGATCACCTTTAAATCTACTAAGTAAAATGAAGTAAATGGAAGACCTTTTTCCAATACGTATTACCAGAATAATTTTTCATTTCTAATGAACAAATTTCCCAACCACAAATGGTTCAAAACTGGATAGACACTTTTGCCTTCACACAAGACTATGGAATGATGGTAAATCATGGCAACAGAAAAGGAGCAATTCAGCCTAACACCCTTCTTGATGCAAAGAGAAAGTGTGGAAGAAAAAATTTTAACTGTCTACCATGGAGACCAACACCAGCCTACGGAGATTCTGGAGATATAAATGTACATGAGAGTGAGTATCAAATAATACTTATAGCATTTATAAAGAAAATTTGAGCTTCAGAAAAATGGTGACAAAAGCCTGCAATTTGCAATGCAAAGAGTTTCAATTAAAAAAAAAAAAAAAAAAAAAGAGAGAGAGAGAGTTGGACATAGACACACCCTTCATCTTTAGAATGGTAGTCAGCAGAGTAGAATCATAGAATCATAGAATATCCTGAGTTGGAAGGGACCCTTAAGGATCATCAAGTCCAACTCTTGACACCGCACAGGTCTACCCAAAAGTTCAGACCATGTGACTAAGTGCACAGTCCAATCTCTTCTTAAATTCAGACAGGCTCGGTGCAGTGACCACTTCCCTGGGGAGCCTGTTCCAGTGTGCAACCACCCTCTCTGTGAAGAACCCCCTCCTGATGTCAAGCCTAAACTTCCCCTGCCTCAGCTTAACCCCGTTCCCGCGGGTCCTGTCACTGGTGTTAATGGAGAAAAGGTCTCCTGCCTCTCGACACCCCCTTACGAGGAAGTTGTAGACTGCGATGAGGTCTCCCCTCAGCCTCCTCTTCTCCAGGCTGAACAGGCCCAGTGCCCTCAGCCGTTCCTCGTACGTCTTCCCCTCCAGGCCTTTCACCATCTTCGTAGCCCTCCTCTGGACACTCTCCAACAGTTTCATGTCCTTTTTATACTGTGGTGCCCAGAACTGCACACAGTACTCGAGGTGAGGCCGCACCAGCGCAGAGTAGAGCGGGACAATCACCTCCCTTGACCTACTAGCGATGCCGTGCTTGATGCACCCCAGGACACGGTTGGCCCTCCTGGCTGCCAGGGCACACTGCTGGCTCATATTCAACTTGCTGTCTACCACAACCCCCAGATCCCTCTCTTCTAGGCTGCTCTCCAGTCTCAATTCCGTTGTAATGGTCAACAGTTAAAAAAAGAGAGAACAACCATTTTTTAACAAGATTACCAAGTTACCAGGTTTACCATACCTGTAGAAGGTTTTTATGAGGGGTAATATTCCTCCAGGGTTAAAAAATGGTGAATTTGTTCATAGCATTTCATGCTAAATCCACAAACCTGTCTTCCCCCTGTGAACATTCCCACGCTTGAAAGCTCCCATAACTATATACTACATGTATATCCATTTATCCATAGACTATCTTGGGACTAAAAAAAAAAAAAAAAAAAAAAAGAAAAAAGAAAGGACATCCTTTGAAGGTATCTTTTTCCACTGCTATGAAGGGAGCCCAGATGACCAAGATTAAATACATAATTTCTAGATTGCTAAAGTCAAAGTAAAATCAACCCCATCTTAATGA